AAATTACATACAATGGCCTTAGATTGTGATAGTATGTCTCATTAGATATAAATATTATATTATTCAATTTTTATCATACATTATTCAATCCAATAGCAATTAACTTTCCTTTTCACAAGGGTTAAGGGAGGTAATAATAGGTACAATGAACTTCAATATATATAAAATAAATGCATTGGGTAACATGATTTATGGTTTATGCATGTGATATTATTGGTGTATATATAACCCTAATATATCAAAAAAGAAGTCACCTTTTTTCTCTTTTCCAATAAATGTATTCTTGATTCTTTTTTACAACTTTTGGTTGTTGAAGTACACTTGAGAATGGAGTAGAACATGGCTAAAGCAAAATTCATTTTCTTGTTGACTACAACAAGATACATATTCTCATTACTCTTTGTTAGACAATGGCCCATATTTTTTTCTCATATATAATACATTGCCATATAGTCATGACTCATATGTGTAGTTGAAGTAGTAAAAGAAAGAATAATTAAGTGAAATTTTTGAGTGGCTATACATGCTACTATTCAAAATACCATTATTTGCTTACATGTGCATTATTTGTCTTCTATTTGAGCTTTCTATATATTGTATATAATGGCTAATGAGTGCAACAAAGTATACTTCCAAAGTAATTATGCTTGTTCAAATTATTATTTATATCCCATCAATTGTGGTGCTTATATACAACTTATATATTATGTCTACACATCCCATCATTAATGAGTGCCACAAAGTATACTTCCAAGAAATTTCTAGCTTTCACTATGTTAGAAAACTACAAATTTTATCAATGTAAGTTTGCTCATATTGCTGATATATATCAAGTTCGGATAAAAAAAAATATGTATTACATTAGGCTTTTAATCGACATAAAACTTGTTAATTCATATTGAATCCTCGTGATACGTATTTTGTATGTTGCAAACTACATATTCCACTACTAGAATTAAATGTGATGATTTTTCATGGACGTTACGCTTATGTCACAATGCTCTAGATGATTTGAGATTTTCGATTGAAAGATGGTTAGAAACAATTTCCAACGAGCATATCTCTAGAAGATTATATTCTGTCATTTTTTTCTTTTGAAATAAATACAATGCGTTTTTAGTGATATTTATTTTAAAGAGACGTATTGTTCAAGTGAAACTCCTTGCTTGGTATAGGCTCATAATTAAGCAATCCTTGGGGCCCGAAAAGAGTCATATCACCTCATAATGTGATTCACGAAATAAGTAAAATAATCGCTACAACAATATAATCATATAACAATGTTTTGAAAGAAAAAAAAATCATTGTTGATAAATTTATTGGCAAAATTCTAATGTATATAGGATTATTTATTCCAATTTGCTTAGTTGTCCAATATTTATAATAAATCATCATTAATATATAATCATATATTTTCTTTGATGAATTTAGAAAAATAATAATTTTTTTTTGTAATAATGAAAAGAATATTTGGGATTTCTAGTGCATGTCATTGTTTTTCAAGAGTACTTGATTAATGATACAAGTGCCATCAAGTGGAAATAGACTTGTAAAGGAAAATATTTAATTTCCATAACACAAGGTAGAAATTTAATTTCCTCTATACATATAAAACTCAATTATTTTGTCACTTTTTTTGGATTTTTCTCACAGGACCTAATAGTACTAGCAGGATTATGGACCCTTCCTAATCATATCGTTTTTTTATTTTATTTTTTATATTATAATTATTGAGTATTCATATCTACTGATTCGATTTATTCAAACACATATCGTATATATAGGATAAATTAAAGGAAAACGAGTTTTAATTTATTTTATTAGTTCATCAACTTCAAAAAACTTTTAATTAATGATAGAAAAAATTTCCACTATAATATCACGTTCCTTAATGAAGCTAATCGTAACATTGCCATCAAATACAAATAGAATATTAGAGGAGGCCGCACGCGCTAAGCTTTTTCTTATAAATTTACAATTACATTAAAGTTCTCCTCATCAGTCACGAGAAGTAAATGCATGCAAGTCGATAGATTCTTTGGTCATCAAATATATTATGGCTTTTACAATATAAAATTCTGGTCTTTAAAATTTTTATATTATTCAAATTCTTTTACACAATTCAATTATAAAAGTCAAACTCAAACTTAAAATGTCTCTTTGATTTTTTTTAAATTTTGTGTTCAACCAAATTATTATGAGGGAATATTGGATAAGATCATAACAAAAGTGAAAATGATATAAGAGGAGGAATTAAGTGCCACTTTTTTCTCTATTCAATGGCCCAAAATTGAAATAGAGCAAAAGTTTCAAATCTAGCAATTGATCTCTTTAATTAAAGGTGTGTTTGTCATGGAGAAGAAAATTTTTTTAAAATTTTTTCATGTTGGTCAATAAAAATTTGAAAATATTTTCTGTTAAAAAATAAATTTCTTGAAAATAAAATAAAAAAACAATTTCTTTATATAAATAGGAAAACCAGTTTTGTAAGTGACACTGATTATTTTCTTCCTACCTTTATAGTATGTATTTACATAGAAATTATTTTTTTAAAAAAAAATACTTATTTTTCTGAAAAATATTCTCAATAAAAGATATTTTTCTCCGTACCAAACACACCCTAAATAGTCCACAACTAATCCCTAAGATTTAACTCTTAATTAAAGATTAAAGGATGACTAAGACAAAGGTCCTAAATAATTAAATACTAACTAATTGATCAATGATTAACCATGCAAACTTTTTTTAATTAATTAATTAACTAACAAAGTTGCACTTTCTGATAATTTTCAACTCAAACAATTTGATAATGACATTAATTAATTCAAAGTGAAATAAATTGGGGTTTTTTTTCTTGTCTTTCAAATCACAAAAAGGTTAATATTAGCTTTGAGCAAACCATCACAAATTGCTAACTAATCTTCTAATTTATGATTATTATTTTTTTATATAAAAAAAAATCTTCTAGCTAATAGGCCATATTAAAAATATTCAAGATTTCTCATATATGTGCAAAATATAACTTTGACCAATGAAAATAGTCACTTATTCAGTAATTAAATTAAATGTAGATTTATAAGAAAAGTATTATATTATAATCTGATAAATAAAATAATAAATGACCTACTAGTACATTAATAATGTAAAAAAAACTTCACACTATAATTTTTTATTTTTTTTACATCGATGTAAAATTCAAATATATGATTAATTATTTTGTACTGTTAACTGTATATTGGTATGTTCATTTATTTTATCTAAAATATAATAATGCCAAGTACGAGGTCATTTTCTTGTAGGTCACAAAATTTTAAAAAGATATTGGTAAATTATTTTTTTTCCCCTTTTGTTGAATAAATATTTCATCGCACTGGCGGAATCGCAAATTTTAATAAAATTTTTAAAAAGATAAATGTCAAATATAATTTGTAAGTGTGAAATTATAGCGATCGAAGGTATTGAAAATTAAACACAAGATTGTAACAATCCAGTTCGCTAGTGAATTGTTGTTTTTGGTTCTAGACCGACATAATTTTAAAATATATTATTGAGGTTTATGATCTGCTTAATTATATACCCAATATGTATCGAGCTCGTGTTTTTATCAGTATGAGACTTCTTATGCTAAACTAGGGTATCACATTCACACTATTTTTATGGACTCAACACTCTCACATGAGATTTCTCTAAGATTCACTGAAGTTAATTTGCCCGCTTAACCAAATTTTGCCAAAATTCAGTTGAGCTCTTGCCAACATCGAGAAAATTTACAAAAAAGAATGACTTTGATATAATTTATAACGTGCGACTCAACCTGCTGATATATTAGATGTTAATTTTTTTAAAAACTTATTCATATGTTTCATCATGGTAAAAAAGAAAAATAACGCAAATAAATAGCAAACAACAATGTATTATGATACTTTCTCTTATAGTAATTTTTTTCTTTTCTATTTAAAATTTTTTAGTTAAAATTTCAATTTTATTATTATAAAAAATAATTGGTAATGGATAAAAAAAGAAATACTCAATTACATGGTAGACTTAAAAAAAATTACGGACATCAAATTGGATTTTTCTCAATTTCTTTCGTTTTCATGCCAGATGTTTGATAATAAATTGACTTGCTAAAGTACCAATATATTAATGACTTTCACATATATGGATTTCTCTGTGCCAACATCATCATATAATATTTTATTATAACAATTAATTTTTTTTTTCAAAATTAATTTTATCTTTTTATTAATTTTTTTTAATCATCTTTGATAATATCCCTTTGACACACCTCTCAAACACAACTCCCTTATTTTTAGGCTTTGGTAGGTTGTATAGAAATTGATGTATTAGTAGTATCGATATTAATAACGAGTGTATTAGTTATTTTGAAATTATTTTTGATAGAATATTTAATTTGATTTAATATATTAAAATTATATACATTATTTTATAACATAATATCATTTATAAAAATTGATGAGTGTTTCAAATAAGTTATTAATAATATACAAAGTTAATACATGCAACTTTTTCTTCTTGTTTTTCAACTATATATACATCACTTTAAACAACATTAGAAAGATATTATTTAGATATAATTAAAAGTTGTGTATATATAATGAATGTTATACTTCATTACCATGGCGTAGCCACGATCATTTCAGGTGTTTAATTAGATACTTTTCAACGAAAATTACGTTATGTATATAAAAAATATATATATTTAAAGCTGAATATTCTTGACAAATGTCAATTTAAAAGAAAGTTTCAGGTTTGATTTTCAAAATACAATAATATCTTTTTAACAGCTATATATCATTATTTTAAAATATTTTTAATATAATTTCTGACTCCATTATTACTTGAGTCAATTATTATATTTATTTTTTTTATAATTTAAATGGCAATTTTTTTTTGGCTAATTCATTAATAATAAAATAGATCCATTTGCCTCTTCTTAGGCTTTTTCTTCATGGAAATATATATGAAGTTACTGCTATATGTAATCATGAGTCCCCTTGTCATCATTCAATACTTTGAAAATATATTAGATCCCTCTCTTACTTTTTGTCTTTGTGCCTCTTTTAACCACGAAATTAGTCTGAAATATATTTAAATTTTATAATTTTTTAATTATTAAAAATTATGATATATAGATCAATTAGTTGAAAAAAAATCTTTGTTAAAAAGTATTTTATCTTTTTTCTTATCTTCTTCTATACTGGATTTGGGGCGAATCAAAGTAGTTATAGTGATAAAAAAAATACATTTTATTATTTATTTATATATGCTACATATTTTGTGAGTTTTGATTATTTTTTTTTATGATTAAACACAAAATAGCGAAGTATTTGCACGCACACCCTCTTTTAATGTCATTTTCTGAATTCTATCCACCATCAAATATGTTTTAACTTCTGATATTATTTTTGATATTATATCGCGTGAAATAACTAGACATTTGCACTGATAACCTCTTTTGATACTACTCGTTAAATTCTATCCACCATTAAATATTTTTTAACAGTTCTAATATTATATTGCATGAAATAAGACATTTGCTTAAATAATCTCTTTTATCGCTACTCGTTAAATTCAATCTTAACATTATAAATGAGCTGTCTACTCTCATATCATATTAAAATTCTCTGTCTATCTAATCTTTTCAAAATGCCACATGGAACATAACGTGTATACAACTATACAAAAAAAACACAATAACTCCATCTATTTATAGGATCTCACTCACTTCATATTTTATTCAAATCTTCTTCTTCTTCTTCTTCTCAAAGTATATATTAAAAAAATTAAGAAAAAATTAGAAGAAACCTACTTAAAAAATCAAGAAAATGTGTGTTAATTCAACAGAATGGAGTGCTTCACGTATTCATTATTTTTCTGGGAAGAAAAAAAACCCAAAAAAATTCAGAGTTCAAGTTCATAGGCTTGCATGGTAATTTATACTACTTTTACACATAATTTAAAACAATTCATATCTTTTTTTCATCATCTCTGTCATAATTTATATGATATAGTTTTTATTTCAAGAAATAAGAAAATATTTGATCGTGATAATTTGTATGTTTTTTTAAATATATCAAATTGTTTAATTATTTTTGTGATTTATACAAACTTTTTGTATTGTTTCTAAATGCGTAAATTATTTTTCAAAAATCTTTGAGATATTAGTACGTATGTTCAAATGTAATGTCAAATTAGAGAAGTTTGCTCTCGAAATTTAAATAATATCAAATAAATTAAGATGGAATTGGTAAATATATTACTATTACTTTCGTATGAAGTGTGATTTTCTTCTTGTTTTATACGATATATATGAGTGCCGAGTTCAAAGGGTAAAAAAAATTGTCAAAAATTTCAAAATGGTATATCAAAATTTTTTTAAACCAAAACAGTAAAATCGCTCAAGCCGTCTGAAAAAGCAAAATCGCTGAAATAGCAGCGATTTATTAAATTTGCTTTTTTAAAAAAAAAATAATAATTAAATAAGTCGCTCCAAATAAGTCGCTGCTTCTGCAGCGATTTTCAAAATTGCTTTTTCCGACGGACAAACTCGCTACATCGTGAGCGATTTTGTCATTTTCGTAAAAAGAAAAATTGATATGCCCTTTTGGAATTTTTAATAAATTTTTTTACCCTTTTAACTTCAGACTCCAATATATATATATATATGTATGAATTCAATTTATATATATTGACAGTATAAAAATATTTATACTAAAAGATGATTATTCGTGAAAAGTCATATTATTTCACGAACCAATATTTCGATTCATACTAGCTCAATATAATAATATATAATATGATTTTTTTTTCAGGAGGAAGAGAAGTGAGGAAAAGGCAGCAGTAGGTAAAAATATGGAATTGAAAAATTTGAAGTTATATATGGAAAATATGAGTATATTTGAAGAAAATGAAAAATTGAGGAAAAAGGCAAATCTTCTCCATCAAGAAAATATTGCTTTATTTTCTGAATTTGAGAAGAAAATTTCTCTATTGGATCGAGTTTCCGCCACCCTTAATTTAATCAAGGACAGAGCTAGAGTTTAAGCTACGAGTTCAGTCAAATTCGTAGCACTTTGAAGATCAAAATTTGTATTGTTATCTATGGAATATGTATAAATTGTTAATTTTAAAATTTGAACGCTTAAGCTTTAAATTCTAGTTCTGTCTTCCTAAGTCGTCATGTCAATGAAGAAAACCCTGCTTCATGATCTAAATATCATGTTTACGATCCTCATCTTCCTAGAAAGTGTCTTTGTTCTACATCAATTGTATAATAAAATATATCTGGATTGTATGTACAATAAATCTATGTAATTTTTTTTTACATGTTGAATTCAAATAAAAATTGCTAGTTTATATATTGTCTAGATTATATTGAACTCATTAAAAATATTGTCTGAATCATTAAAAATATGGTTACGTTCATATCGTATTCAAAACTAAATGAACAACGTTTTTATTTTAATTTATCGATCATTTTTTGTAAGCTTATAATTTTAAATTTGCCATAATGTTATTATATACCGACAATGGTAGCACTTTTATATATTATTAATGTTGTCAGTAAAATTTAATTATATTTAGTCACCTAAAATTACTTAGAAGTAATAAATCAAGACTAACTGTTAATCAAAAAGAGAACTTTCACATATAACAAATATAAAATTTATATTTGTATGTTGTAACAAAGTTTGTATAATTACGTTCCATAGCAAACATAAATATGTATAATTTGCTATACATATACAAAAAAACCAACTGTATAATTCGCTATATATATACAAAGAAACCAATAGTATAATTTGCTATACATATACAAAAGAAAGCAGTTGTATACAAATCAATTGTATTTTATAAAATAAGAAAGAGAGAATTTCTCTCACTTTCTATTGTATAATTTTAAGTGTATAGGACGAAGATATATATATTTAGAAGTGTATATACAATTTTCTCTCACTTTATAAAAATAGAAACACAATTTATACATTTCGTTTCTATTTACAAAGAGATAGAGGCGAGGATAGCGAGCGAGATCTGAAAGAGTGGCGAGCGAGATCTGGGAGAGGGAAACGAACATATATGTATGTATACAATTTTTTTCTTGTTTTATACAAACAGAAACACATTATATACATTTGTGTTTGTATAAAAGTGAGAGAGAGTGTGCGAGAGATGGAGCGAGAGAGGGAGAGTGGCGAGCGAGAGAAGGAGAGTGGCGAGTGAGAGTTTAAGGGAGAGAGATGACTGACAGATAGTCTGCTACAGTGTAAAATTAAATTAAAATATGATTATAATATTTAATTTGATTATCAGTTTGTCGTTATACATCATTTTCCCTTAAAAGAGAAAAAAAAATCCTAATAAAAAAATACTTTTCCTTTTGATAAATATTATATTAAACAATCTCGCTTAATCAAAATTCAAAATAAATATCGAATCTAAAATTCGAAAGAAAAAAAAAGTCGGCAAAAGTAAAATGGAAGAGGAAACATTTGGGACCCTCTAAATGTACTTTTAGAAAAAAGCAAAACATAATTTTCCAAATGTAATAAATTAACCTTTTGTATTTTCCCAAAAAAAAAAGTTTTCAGTGAAGCTTCTTAACACGTGAGGTTAAAAAAATGTCAGTGTTGTTGCCTCCAATTTGTCTCCTTATTTTATTTTATATTTTAAAGCATAGTACAATTATATTAGGTTCATTAAAAATTTCATTTACAATATTATGAATAAAATGATAAAATTAATTTACTTATGAAGTACTATTTTGAGAATAATTCAATGGATGTAGCAAATATCTGGTGAAATAATCGAGAATTTGGTTTAACCATCAATATTTATAAATTTTGAATCTCGAGTACACGAATTCAAAAATGTACAGTGAGTTTTAGTCTAAGAACCTTAAAAGTTAAACAATACAAATTCAAAATTCTGAATCCGCTTTCTTGACCTAGCTTAGAGCTCCGGTCTACACTGGCTATAAAAACTCTTCCATTTCTTAGCATGGAGCAACGATCGTTACGTTATGTACGAGTTAGACGGAGAATCTAGTAGGGTGAAATGACTCAAAGACGATGATCACAGTTCTTTTGACTGGTTCTGTGTTGATCTGTATATCCGGAATGCTGCAAAGCACATTGTGGCATTACCAATTACTGTCAAAGCTGCTTGTAGAGCCACTACTACCTGAAAATCATGCATGGAAACGGAACGTTAAGTCATATCTCCGCGATTAGAGGTGGATTACAGGATTTGAAGTTTACGAGCTCCTGCAGTGATATCAAGTCGATACTAATGAGTCCACAGTCAAATATCTTTATAGATTTAGTAGATTTCTAAATATAAGGATCTACTGAGTTCAGTTGAACCTGTAACCAACATAGTAGATCAACCGCTGCCCATAGGGGAATGGTTTAGGGCGAATCCGCAATCATATTTTACCAAGAGAAGTTCATAAATTTCGTTCTAGATAAAGAATTGCATCTACTTACCTCAAGAGACTCCGAGTTATAAAAGAAATGCCAAGTGCAGGCACAGAGTGCTCCTCCAAGCAGGGGCACCTAAATCGGAGAAAAGAAATGGAGATAACTGCTAAATGATCAAAGAGAAGCGTGACGCGATAACTCAGCATAAGCAGTCAAACAAAAGTACATCACTTTGTTAAGAAAAAACAACATTTTCACAACTTGAAAAGCTCTAATTTTTACTGTCTTGTCACTGACTAGATAATAGTAGAACAAAAAACTCAATAATCAAAATCAACAAAATTTCGACATTTGAACTACGTTGTCCATGACATGAGAAAGGTAAGAAAGTGAAAAAAGAAACCTGAAGAGCAAGAAGTTCTAAACTTCACGGGATAGCCGCCAACAATATATATGGATTACAGTAGCACTGTGATGGGAGTGTAACCTCAACAAATTATATCACATGTACATGTTTTCCGCCACCGCTCTCTATGAAGCATTTCACAGTTGGACAGCATGTCATAAACAAGTTTAAATCGTGTATCTTGGTTGAAAATACCTGTTTCGGATTGAGGCGTAATTGTTATTGTTGCTTTTGGCTGAGGATAGTATTGAAAAACATAATAAAATAGAGGGGGAAAAAAGACTTCATACTTCTTCCTAAAAGAGTTAGTCATGAATCAATCAAGACACAACTATTTCCCGTAAGGTTTGGGATTGGTTGAATCGGGGAAATGGATTAGTGGGAGATAATCGGAATCATCAAAGAAGGAAAAAACTCACTGCAATAATAGGCTGACAGCGATAATATATTCATTTCAGCCTCTTATAATTTGTTTTCATTACTGTATGGTAGTAAAACGTTGATCGACTAATTAAGTTAACCCAATCCCAATCCATAAACAAGAATTAAATGAAGTAGACATTTAGACTATTGTCTGATCAAATGTACGAGAACACGAACTTTTAATTAACAGGAAAGACTGTTATCTACTTTTCTACTTCCAGAAGAATGCTATTTATGCATAACAGCCATTTCTATTGGACCAGATATAGGCACTGATCAGAGTTCTGCGACTCTAATATATCGCAAAGAAAGAATGTACAAATGTCACAAAGCTTGCATGTAGTTCACCATACAGAGTTTTTTTTTCTTATGATAGCAGTGTTCGGGCCAACTTGTTCACCTTGACTAATTCCATCAGGTACCGTTTACCTCCTACGAACATAGGTACCTCATAACTCTGTCCACCAAGGTTTATGCAGATTGGAAAGAAATCACAACAGTGTTTTGCCTCTGATGAGTTTTGAACCTGAGACTAGACTCGCTTTACAGATTTCACATATGTAAACAGCCAACTTATTTTTTTTCAAGTTCTCTATAGTACATACCATAGGAAGTTTTTTCCTTTGAGCAACAAAAATATTTCGAAAATTGTTCTTTCTAGAGTTTTTGAGTTCAACTGCCATTTTTAGGGAAAGACTTAAGCTTCTATCTCACTTAACAATAGGTAAATAGATATCGAGAAGGGACAATATAACATTCATCAATTAAACTGAAATTTTCAACATATTAAGAGAAGTCATTTTCAAAAAGTATTTACAGTCATGTCAAGCTCATCGACAGAAAGAAGATTCAATATTGCAAACCTAGAGCACGAAATTTTGATCAAAATATGACTTCCAAAAGCAAAAGCATCTGCACAACAAATGAATGATCACGACTAAGCAACATTACTTACCATACCCCAGGAGAGTCCCTTCCAAGATTCATAACCCGACTTTTCTCCATATTGCCAAACCAGAGCCATAGCAGTTACCCTTTCAAACAAAGTTAAAAATCATGTCATTTCATTCTGCACAAAAAAACATATGAACAAATAACACCCCGTGACAGAGTGCACTGCACATTACAATACCCCCTCTGCCCAAATTTACATAACACCCTTTCCATTTTAGGACGTCATGAAATTGGTTGATGCCATTCCATTTTCTATAAAACTTCCGTAATTTTTGATAATTCAAATTTGAGCTTTGATGTAATGTTTTAGCATCTGTTAAACTAATATTTTAACTATTACTTTAAACCAGGAATAATTTTGGACATTTTTCTGAGAAATGGAGTCTGAGGAGGGCGAGAGTGTCTGTAGCCTTATCTCTACCTTATAATGAAGTGGTAAATTCTGCCTAACAGATGGATAAATTTGAACATTTTCCCTATAAATATGCTGTGGCGAACCGTGGATGCATAGTATATGTAACAGGTTTGAACCACAATAGAGTTTGCTCAAACCTTGTATATGTATTAAGAAAAGAAAGAAGGGTCAAAAACACACCTAAAGTACTCCGATTTTTCGAGTTTCAAACCTAAACTATCATGTGTGCGAATTTCCTACCTAAACTATCACCGTTATTCATCAAAACACACCTCAACTATCAATTGTTTACTTTTCCTACCTGAACGATGATGATATTTCCTATATGAAACTCAAAAAATGGGTATATCCTAGGTGTGTTTTTGACCAATTAACTCTTAAGAAAACTCACAAAATAACTAGAAGTACTAGATTTTGAATCCAATAAATCAAATGCTTTATGGTAGCACCCAAACTCAAACTCAAACTTATAAAGTTCAAATCTTGATCAACAACAATAACATACGCAATGTAATACCACAAGTGGAGTCTGAAGAGGATGGCGTGTATGTAGCCTTACCCCTACCTTGTGAAGATAGGGAGACCGTTCCCAATGGACCCTCAATTCAAAGTTCAAATCTTGATCCACCTCATATAATAAATTCCCTCCATCTCATTTTACTTCTCCATTTTAGCAAGCCAAGAAAATCCTTTTTCCCATACCATCCTTAGTAATATTAAATAACAACATAAAGTAATAGTAGTCAAATTTAGAGTTTCAAAATGTCATGCGTCAACAAGGGTCAAGTAATACAAAACGGAGTAAGTATAATCCAAAATTAACATCTTAAAAAACACAATTTAACATCTTAAACTCTCATTAAGTCAAATATGTGAGACAAAATAGGAACAGAGAAATTACCATTCAACAATAGTGGAAACATGACTAGCCCAAGTGTGCAATGACAGAGCATTAGAAGGTTCATTGAATTGAAAAGAAGAAGAACCCATTAAACCTAACTCAGAACCAGAAGCTGAGCCCACCATTAGTGTTGTAAAAGCAAGTCCAGAAAAACCCAAAATTGCAGCAACATTTTTCAAATTACTGATAATGGGTGCTGGAAAATGAGTCTTTTTTCTTGTAAAGAAGATAAAGTTTGGATCTTTATGTGTAAAAGAGAACTGGGTTTGTTTTGGATTTGGAAGAGAATGAAGTTTTGAGAGGGATAATGAAATTGGAACTGCCATTGTTGATTGAATTGAGTCAAGTTTTTCACTTTCTTTTTTGTTTGTTTTAGATAAGAGAAAATATGAATGGAGTTTTAAATAAAATAAATTCATTGACAACTTCTGCCGTTATGAAATTGACTTATATATACATTTATCGTTATATAAATGGTTCACATATACTTCTGTCGTTACAAAATGAGCTTACATATACTCTTTATTTAACGAAAGTAAAAAATTAGTTATAAATTTATATATTTTACTTTTCTTTTTTAAAAAAAATTATTTAGGGGTATGTATAATTTTTTTATCAAAGTTCAAAGTATATTTCAATTGTTTTCATACATAAATTATTTTTTTAACTTATTTTATTATAATTATTTGAGTTTCTTATTCTTATTTTTTTCTTTCATTCCTTAGTGTAAAGAAAAAAATATTTAAAACTATTTTTTATGTCTATATTGTAATTTAATTTTTGTAGTCGAAGAAAAAAAATGGTCATCTACAATATGTTTTACAAGAATATTAGTGAAACTTTAATAAATTTGATCATCAAAAATAATAATTCTAAATTATTCATTAAAATAAAAAAAAATGTTTGACGAGAATTAATTCTACTCATATAGGATTATATTTTTTAGAAAAAAATAATAAAAATTATTATTATTATTATTTTTCGTTAGGAAAAGAGTATATGTGAGCCATTTGTTTATAAGTAGGGGTATATATCAACCACTTTTATAACAAGGGATATATCAGCTCCAAATGAAAAAGTTGAGAGGTATATCACACCCTTTTCCCTTGATTTTAAAATATAAATATTCAAAGGCAAAATATATTGACAATTTCTTAAACTTGTCAATAAATTTCATTTTGATGCTAAGAATATTGACTTATTATAGTTAATGCCTTTGAGTTCGGGAAACATGCAAAAGAAAGATACAGAGCTTATTTTCAATAAATTCTTAGCTCAAATAAAACATATTAAATATCATTATATAAAATAAATATAACAGTGAATATTAATGAAGAAAACAACAACAATAACAAAATAATACAATAACAGAAGCAATGGTAATACTAAATTTTTAAAAATTTATATTATATGAGAGTTAAAAAAGACAACACTAATTAAAAAAAAGACTAAATAACACTTGACCTACCTATAGCAAAAGAAAAATGTAGTACACATTTATTTCTACTGAAAATTACATATAGAAAATAAAATTCCACACAACATTTGGTGATGCCGTCTTTAGTTGTACCATTAGGTTCTTGACATTACAAGCACTGTTAGGACAGATAATGTGTGGATTTTTTTTTTTTGATAATCGAGAAATTTTCGAGGATCAGTCAACAGACGATTCGAAACTCGATGAATGATAATTTTTATCACTCCATAACAGTTTCTTTTTTCTTAGTCCACAGCATCACTAGTGTGAAGCCCATTAATGACATGATCACAACCTGCAAAAATGTACCAAGCAAATGTTAAAATGTGACTAAAAGTTAAAAACTGAAGAAAAAAAAATAGAATGAAAAATGAATAGGATGAGAGAACGGAAAAGGATCAAAATTGCCCCTAAACTGTACGGTTAAACACTTTTTCCTTTATCCGTATGTTTTTTTTAAAGATTCCGAACCTGAAAGGACAAAAATGCTACCTTTTGGTAACGACAGGGGCAAAAAGCATCCAAACTATTAACGGAGGGCAAAAGATTCGACTCTGATACCATATTTCAGATGAACGCATATAAAGCTATAAAATTGATAGATGACTTACTGATATAGCTGGTGGGACACTAACAAGGGGATCTTGAAAAAACTTATTGGCAAGAGCAAGGGCCAAAAGACTGCTCTGCATGCCTGCAAACGCAATTTGAAAATGACAACGTCAATCAAGTTTCAATAATATATGCATCTCGTGCACGGTGATAATATTATGTAGTCTCCAAACCTGTTTCGTATGACAGTGTTCTTTGTAGAGCTTTGACATCGGGTGCTTTGTGGAAGGCTAGGCCGGAAAGAAAATAGGCCAAGATGAAAGCTGATAAATGAAATGCAATCACTAGGAACAAAACAGACATTCCAGAAGGGGACATGAGGGAATCTATGTTAATAGCGAGTGGAGCTCCTACAGCGAGAGCAGTCACAAAAACTGACAGGGGAGGCAACAACGGCCGAATGGCATTTGAAATCTGTGGGAGGCATCTGTTGAAGCAAAACCATAAGTCATAAAGAATGAAGTTCGGATCATTGAAGGATATACATACACATAACGATATAATACCTATTCAGAAAGAGCCCACCAGCAACAGGTGCAACAACAATCTGGAGTATGTTGGAAATCATTCCCTTAACATCCACAGGCAACTTTTTCCCAATAAGCAATAAAGTTAATGTCGGGGTGATAAAAGCAGCAGTAGCTGTAGATAACGCTGTCATCACTATACTAAGAGGGGCCATTTGTGGATCGGTTAGAAAAGTAGCATAATTTGACAGCTGTGCTCCGCTAACACAAGAGGTCAACATAATCCCTGCAGCTGATACACAGATAACAAAACTTTAGTCAGCATACTATTTTCTTTCCTGAAAAAGGGGTCTGAGATTTTACCTAAGGAAGTTGGAAGACCCAATACAGACATTGCAACTGTGCCAAAAAGATACCCGAGTAGTGGCTTCAAAGCAAATTGACCGATATAACCAGCAAAAATGGCAGCAGGTTTCTTGAAAGCTTCAAGAAAGTCCTTTTCACTTGAATTGACTCCAACAGCGAACATTAAAAATCCTAATGCAGGGGCATAGTACCTAGAAACGGCAAACATCACGGTTAAAAATGAGACCATACGATGAGGTGAAAAACTAAGCAGTTTAGACTTTTTGGTATGCACTCTGCAACTATTTGTCACATAATACCTTTCTCTAACTATCCTAGATAGACAACGTGAGACCAAATCGGTGCAAATATTGAATGACAGACTTTTGCCAAGATCCAATTCTACACCTCCATCCTTTTCTAGAGGGGATAAATTGGTAAAAGAAATAGATATATCCACGGAAAACTTTCAATAAAGGAATTACTCTGACCTCTGGCACGGGTCTCTACCACACCTCCTGCTACAACTAATGCCAATTGGTTTAGTTATAGAAGCCTCAGTATACATTTATAAGGATAAATTCAAATGACCTGATCAAGCCACGATACTTTGACCAAGTCTAGCAGAGAGATATAAGTCCTCTAGAATGCAATTAATGATTTGTCCCGGCAAAATTTATACGAGTTTCTCCTTGGAATGAGTTGTTGATTCTAGTATACATGATAAGTAATCCAAACAAACAAAAGTCTGAACAAAACTCTTCTTTCAGAAAGTGATCAAATGCATACATTTTGAAATTCTTCGAATTATTAGCTTTAATAATGTGTATTACAAGACTCAAAAGTATCTTACAACTGTTAATTTATGTAGTTCAACAACATAAAGATGCCACCTAGTTCACGAATACATAGGAAATATTTTCTTCTATTCTAACTAATTTGCATAGACAGTATATAACACCTCCAAAAGTAGAACTTAAGCTCCAAATTAGAATTAAAAATGATCTTGCTTGCTTTTAACAAAATATAAATGCACTTGCTTCATGCAGTAACCAATGTTACTTAATACGTCAAACAGGGAAAATGATTACTTGTCAATTGAATTCTTTGTCTAACAGACAACAGTATCAATTAATAAGATCAAAATACAGAAACAAGCGTTATGTGTCCCTGCGAACTTCTGAAAGAGTTATCAGACCTATCGCAAAACTTTTTGCAAGGTGAAAAGTAAGATAGCATGAGATGCTAGAGGGATAGAACAAAATAGATGAGAAAATAAGCACCAATTGGATGATAGACAAACCTGTTGGTAAACCAAGTAAAAGAAGGTGGATAGATAAGAGCCAAAATTGTGCTAGCAAGAACCACATGGGGCAGAAAAGAGTTTGCTCCCTTCAAAATTGTCAAAAAGGCGTTCTCTTTTTGTTTCAAATTCTGTAATAACAAAATGTCTATTGTTAAAAAAAAACAAAACTTAAATGCAAATACTTCAAATCCAACAAATCAAATGTCGGCTTCGAAACATTCAAGGAAACAACATAACCCCCTTTTCCCTATTATGTTTCTTTTCCTTTTCAAAAATATCGAGAGGTTTAAGAATTAAAATATGAGCCAATCAACCTCTTTGATTCACAATCTCAAGGGAAAGAAGCATTGGAAACATTAGAAATGTAATCAAACCAGAGAACATTGCCCTCACATCGAAATGTCTTCAATTAGTAATAACAGTCAGTACATCAGCTTGAAATGGCTAGGAACCAAAACAAATTGCTTCCTATATCAACTACTTCTCATATCTGGAACTTTATCCACATACATAGAGAATTTTCTATTACTTTTTTCTATGTTTTATAAGGGTGATGTCTGGGAAAGCTTGCACACACCTCACACACCTCGACTATTCCACTCAGTATCTTCTACCTCTCACCAAGACAAGTATCGGATAACTCTGCTGGCTAAGGCTTAAATAAATGGGGGAAAAAATCACGTAAGGTATCTTCTAGCTCTCCCATTTTATTGTCCGCTAGACCACACCCTTGGATGCTAGAGAATTTTCTATATCAAACTCGTTTTTTTATGCAATGATAGTATTCATAGCCATACCTCTCAAAGAAAAATGGTTGTCACCAATAAATTAACAAGTCTTTCGTTGCTCGATTCCACATACAAATACAAGTCAAATTCACAAAAGCATATAATTGAACTTTGAGTAAATGGCTCCAGATGTAAAAATGGAAAACCTCAAGTGATTCAAAGTCATTAGGCCCAAGTGGATCTGAGAAACTTTCTGAGATACATCTAGTAACCAATAGTCCTGAATACCGAAAAAGATCACATTCATGAGCAAGAAAAAAGACATTATCAACTAAAACTTTGAGCAAAGTATTACAATTGAGTTTAGAAATCACTTACTTGGCAATGTGGATTGTATAGCTGATGGAAACCCCACCAATCGTACCCCTTCAAGAACCCAAATACAAATTGGACTAATTCATTAAAAGGGATAGTAGAAACACACTTGATACTGAAAAATAAAACAATCACAAAATCTGATAACTTTTCTGAGATACATCTACTAAACAACCGCTTGAATTACCACCTATATAAAAAGATCACATTCATGACCTAAATAAAGTACATTATCAACTAAACTTGAGAAGCAAAAGGATCTCAACTTTGAGTAAAATAGAACATATTGAATTTTCAGAAAAAACACCTAATTGGCAATGTGGATTTTATAGTTGAAGAAACCCTCACCAATCATACCCCTTCAAGAATCAAGGAACACAAGTACAAGTTGGACTAATATATCAAAAGGGGCAGTAGAAATAAACTTGATATTGAAGAAAGATCATAATTTTTTTTCTTTTTTTCTTTTTATACTTAAAAGTAAAGAGCACATTATCAACTGTACTTTGAGAAGCAAAAAGATTCAAAATTTGAGCAAAATAGATTACAATTGAACTAAATTTTTTTTAAAGGGGCAGTAAAAATACACTTGATATGAAAAACAACAAAAAAACCCCAATGAAATCCACAAAGTGGGGGGTCTAGGAAGGGTAGGGTGTACGTAGACCTTACCCCTACCTCTCCGAGGTAGATAGGCTGTTGCCGAAAGGCCCTTTGCTCAAGAAAATCAAAGCAGTAATCAAAAAGAAAAACATGAGAGCTAATAGCAAATAGTACAGAGCATATATGCAAGAAACCATAACATGAACAACAAGGTGCAATCACCTAAACCCAATAAACCACATATGATAATCAGAAACTCTAAACCAAAGACTAAATGAATATGCTAATACTACGACCGACACTTTATACAAAAAAAAAAAAATCTATTTTTCCTTCAACATCATACCCCTTCAAGAACCTAAGTACAGTTTGACTATTGAGAAGCAAAAAGAACTAAGTACTTTGCACGGTTGAGAAGCAAAAAGATTCAAACTTTGAGGAAAATAGATTACAATTGAGCAAAATAAAACACACCTACTTGCTGTTGTATAGATGGGGGAAACTCCTTCAAGCACAAAAGTACAAATTAGATTAATTCATCACTAATAGCATTATAAATACACTTGATACTGAAAAATATATCACAAAATCTCTTTTTTCTTTCATCAATCATACCCCCTTCAAGAACCCATTTACCGAAGTACAGTTTTACTTTGAGAAGCAAAAAGATTCAAACTTTAAGCAAAATAATACACTATTGAGGTAAAAAGAGAAAGAGGGAAGTTACAGATTTGGTTGCTCAGCAAAAAATGTCTACATCAGCTATAGATAATACACATGCTCTATACAAATATTATGGCAATTTTTTTTTTTGGGCCAGCAACTATTTATGTCAATTTCCCCAAAAAGAATAAAGATTGTATAATTAAGGGAATTCCTTTCAAGAACTCAAGTACAAGTTGAACTAATTCATTAAAAAAGGGGCAGTACAAATACACTTGATATTACAAAAAAATTCACAAAATCACTTTTTTCTTTCATCAATGATACCACATCAAGAATCCCAAATTGGACAAAACTATCAAAAGGGTAAGCATAAATACACATGAATATTGAAAAACAATCATAAAAATCTCTCCTTTTTTTTATAAATACTTGTAAGTATAAAAACAAACAAACCTGAGGAGTGGAAGCATTTCTTGGTAAAAGAAACAACTGGGTGTTGATGAAAACAAGGTAGAGATTTGTGAAGTGAAGGAGAATCAAGAATCTTGAAGCCTTGATGATTCTGCTGAAAAAGAAGAAATTTAATACTCATTTTTTATTTAAAAAAAAATTCAGTTTTTGATTTTGAGAGAAACTATAAAAAAGGAGACTTCTGTTTGTTGTTTTTTTGGGGGTTTAAATATTAGGATTCACAGGTGGTCCAATTTCTAGGGAAAATGACAAGAGTGGCCCTTTTAATTAAATGAACTATTTTGGTTATTTAGGATCCGTTTGACCATGCGATATAATATTATAATATGATATGTAATCATGATATAATATTAAAGTTTAATTTGGACATGCGATATAAAATTTTTGGTGTTAATATATTTTTTCTTATAAACATACCTAATTGTATATTCAACACTGTCAAATAAATAAAAAGTCATAAAATCGTATAATAAATTATCACAAAATTATTTTTTCTCCACTTAAGTAATTGTTTCATCAATATATTTGAGTAAAAATGAAAAACTTGTCACGGGCTCTTCAAAATTTTATTACTCAATAATCGTGAAATGTGAGTTAAAGTGACTATATGTTAGTGAGAATAATAAATTTTAAGTCGGTGAAAATAATAAATTTTAAAACGTAATAATGTGATCATAAATTTTATTTACATGTGAAATAAATGTTTAGTATATATAAATGTGGGGTTGTTTTAGCAAAATATAAACTTGTGAATAAATTTTTGTATTAAAATAACTCAAATCATGATATGGTATTCCCATATGATTCTGTATCATTGCTTTTGGAGAATATGATATCTCATCTAATGATATGGAATCATGAGATGAAATCAGCGTAAAATGACATGTCCAAATGCTGATTCCATCTCACGAATGATATCATATTGTGATATGGTATCATATGGCCAAACGCCTACTTAAATTAGTCAAAAGTTAACATTGATAGTGGGTAAAATTTACCACATCGGATATTTACACCAAACCAATACATGGATGAAATGTGTTAAATCATATTTTGTTCGTTTTATTTCATTAAATCACATAATAATGGAAATTGCTACGGGTAATACTTACCTGCACAGGGTTCTTACAACAAGTCAATACATGCATGTCATGTGTTAAAACATATTGTTAATTTTACTTCATTAAATTACATAATAATAAAAATTGAATTAAATTAATATAAACACCGTCCTTATTAACTACTCAACAAAGTTTGATTTAGTATTAAAGTTTTATTTTTTTAATAAAAAATATTTATTATGAAAAATAAGATGTTTGACTAATAGTAAAAGTGTTTTTAACTGAAAGCAGAAACAACTTGAAAAGAAGCTGAAAATTTTAGAAGTAGAAAATTATTTATTCCAAGATCAAAAAATCCCTGTAATATATACATATTTACCAATATATATCTTTTTATTTATTTATTTTTGTGATGAGTTTTTTTATACGTAATGATTTAATTTGTGAAATACTTTTTAAATTTATTTTGTCTTACATTTAATTATATATAAATTATCATGTTGATATTATATCAATACACAATCTTTTTTTTTTAGTTATCAATATATAATATTGATTGAAAATTTAAATATGCATATTTTAATTTAATAAAAATAAAAATTTAATTAAAATTTTTATTGTAGACATATAAGATAATCTTAATATTAAAAGTGTATCAATACTTGTATTTTTTCAAAATTTGACTCTCAAAAATATATATTTTTTTAAAAAGAAAATGGACAAACACAATCCACTTATCAAAAACACTTTTCAAATGAATTATTCTAACACAAATAAAAAGTATTTCTAAAAGTCAGTTACTTTTAGCCGCAATTGCAAACAGGTTCTAAGTCTTGAAAAATAGTAATTTGGAGAAAGAGTATTTAATGACGAGGAGGGTAAAACATTAAAAAACATATGTGTCTCTTCTTAATATGTCAAAAGTGACAAATAAAAATAAAAAAAATTATTTGAACAAGTGAAAAATAAAAATAAAAATTCATTTGAATAAATGACAAATAAAAATAAACGAAGGAAGTATTTATCTAAGAAATATGTTAGGTTGGACTAGATCTATAAGAAACAAGAGAGAGGAAACTTAGCTAATTTATGCTATTATATTTTTTTGTCTGTTTAAAGTGATTTTGTGTTATATATTTTAGATTGTGATAAAATATTTTTTTTTGATGTTTTTGATAATTTATTTTCCGTTGTCTTTATCAAATCTAACAAACACAAAAATTTTATATTTAACGAAAGTTTTAATGTTTGGTGAACTTAAAGGAACAATATTATTACATATTTAAAAAAATTATTTTGAACCTACTCTCAATATATGGGATCACTTTTATTATTTTCTTCAATTTAATTTTTAGATATCTATTACTACCTCTATTATAACTTATGTTTATCTTTTTCTCTACTCAATTTCTAAAAAAAAAAAATCATATATTTTTATATGAATAAAATTAAAGTTTAATTTTTTATTTTATAGAATAAAAAAAAATAGTTACTTTATAATTTATTTTAGATCATAAACTTTTTAAAAAATAGCTCATTTTTATATTTTAATATTTATTTAAATACCATCACATAAATAATTTTTTTTATTTTTTTTTGGAACAAATCTCCTAGCAACCTACAAAAATTAGACGACAAACATAAATTTATAACGACCTTGTTGGGCTATAAAAAAAAGATTTAGCCCCTTTTCACCCACCCTACCCCTACCCCCCTCATTACTTGGATGTGTGAATATACCTTTTTGCCCCTAGGATTAATTCATGTTTTAATCAAATTTATAATTCCTTGTTATTATTATTATTATAAATGTAGATGTTGTTAGCTTAAAGTGTAAAAATTGTAGATAGCATTCGAAATAATGGAGTTTATAGTCTAAATTATTAGGCACGTGAATTCATGGTTTTTTATAAGAATAATTTTAGATATATATATATTTATATTGTTAAAGTTTCAATAATTATAAATTTGCTTTTTTGGTATGATAAAGTCTGAGACGTTTGAATTTCAAGACAAATAGGGTTTGGCAATAACTTTTTTTTTAAAAAAAATCATGTGCTAAAACATATTAAAAGTTTTAATAATCATCATTTTGAATTTTAAGAACTCCTAAATTGGTCTACGATAATTTTTAAAAAATTCATGTGATTATACACATAAAAAGCTTTGATAGTCATAAATTAGTGTTTCAAGACCTCTAAATAAACAAAAAAAACAAACAAAACAACAAACAATATTGATCATGACAAAGTTAAGAAACTGTTGAATGGACCCTTTGGATTTCATGATAAATGAATTAGTTTGACGATATTTTTTAAAAATAATTCGCGTGCTTATCTACATCAAAAGTTTTCATAATTATGATTTTGCATTTCGGAATCCCAAAATTCAAAAAATAAAAGAAAATAACGTCAATCATGGCGAAGCTCAGATCTTTTGGAATGAATCTTATAAATTTCAAGTCAAATAAAGTTTGACTCTGTGTGGCCGATTTTGTTTGAGCTCAAATTTTGTGGATGTATCGGTGAAAACTTATTAAATGATACTCATTATTTTTAAAATATGAAAAAAAAAATCTTAAATTTATATGTCATGATAAAGGAATTCAGGATAATATCATATTCGTGTGTATAAGTTCATTATTTTTGAAATATGTGTCACTAACTCTGTTTGACCTCAAATATATGGGTGTATTAGCAACAAAATATTAAAAGATAAATCATTACTTTTAAAAGGCAGGTATCCTTTTCGAAGTTTATATATCACAAGACATGAAATTAAGATTTCTTAAATTTCGTGTATATTAATGTGTGTATTTTATTAGCGTTCAAGAAAAGACTCATTCATATCATTATTTTTTAGTAGTGGTTTTACAAAACCATTTTTGACACGTGGTAAATTGTAATTTGGTCACGTAATCAATTTTTTAAATAAAAAAATCATAATTTTGAAAAAAAAATTGAATTAATTTTTTTTTTTATTTTTTTAACTTAAATAATTGATGATAATTGGCCACGTCATCAACTTTTTAATTGAAAAAAATCAAAATTCTGAATAAAAATTGAACTATTTTTTTTTATTATTAAAAAATTGATGACGTGGTCGAATTATAATTGGTCACATGTAAAAATGATTTTGCAAAACCATTGTTAAAAAATAATGGTATAAATGAGTCTTTTTTCTTTAAAAGTAATGGCATAAATGAACCAAACTTTTAAGTGATAGCATAAATGAGCCTTTTCTGAAAGTTCAATGACATATTTAAGCATTTTCCCAATAAAAAAAATAACTACACCACACCAAAAGTTTGGATAATCATGATTTGGCGTTTTGGGACCCCAAAACTCAAAACATAAAATAAAAAAATCATGGCGAAACTCAGACCTTTTGGAATGGACATTACAATTTTCAAGTCAAATAGAGTTATACTGATTTTGTTTGAGCTCAAATTTTGTGGATCTATTGATGAAGACTTATTTAATGTTATTCATTGTTTTTGAACGATGAAAAGTTTCCCTCCCCTGAGTTTATATGTCATAAAAAGGAATTCATGATTATATCATATTTTTGTGCGTATAAATTCATTATTTTTCGAAATATGTATCGCTAACTCTGTTTCAACTCAAATTTATGGGTCCATTAGTGACAAACTATTAAAAGATAAATCATTACTTTTAAAAGATAGGTATCAATTTTTTCGAAAGTTTATGTATCACAAGATATGAAATTAGAATTATCCCAAATTTCGCGTATATTAATCTGTGAATTTTCTGAAATATGTGTATTGGAGGTTGACCCTAGTGAGGTTCTTAGAAAATTTGATGGACACTTAACTAAGTAAATAACAAGTTGCTCAATTGATAATTTTTTAAAGACTTTATTATTTTGATGGACACTTAACTAAGTAAAAATAACATGTTGCTCAATTGATAATTTTTTAAAGACTTTATTATTTTACGTCAATAATAACAGATCCACATGGAACCTTAGTTAAGTAAATAACATGTTGCTCAATTGATAATTTTAAAGACTTTATTATTTTATGTCAATAATAACAGATCCACATGGAACATAATTTAGTGGATTTTTTTTGTTTTGGCAAGGAATAACGTTGCGCTACAACTTTATAGAGTCCGAAATTTAAAGGGTATAAAATATAATAAAAATTTTAAAATGGTATATAAAATTTTATATTAAACAAAATGACAAAATCGCTGGAACAACAGTGATTTCCTCCACCGAAAAAAACAAAATTGCTGCAGTAAATGTGATTTTGTTAAAAAAAAAATCCAAATCGCTACCTAGGCAGCAATTTTCATTTTTTTTTAATAGAAAATCGCTGCTAATTTTTAATTTAAAAAAATGAAATCGCTGCACATGCAACGATTTTCCAATTTTTTTTAAAAATTTAATAAACCACCGATTTTCAATTTGTTATTTTATTTTTTTAGAAAAAAGTTAGTTTGTAAATAGACAATCTCTCATCTGCATTTAGAAAATAAAAATATTTTAAAAAAAATCTATAATAAAATAAAGAATATGAAGAAGGTATTAAACTCACCAATGAAGCTAATGATCGGTGATGAAAAAATATGAAGATTAATATTATATGACATTGTGGAAATATAAATAAAAGAGGTTAAAAAGTTAGAATTCTATTTGAACTCAAACATCATTTAAATTTAAATTCAATATAATATCGTTTCTTTTAGAAAGAAAATATTTTTGTTACTTTACTTATTCTTAATTTTTTTAAAACAATGCATATTTCTTATAAGCTATATATTTGAATTTCAAAAAAGTATTTGAAAATCAATAAAATTTGTTTTTCCTACGATTTTCTTATTTATTTTTTTAAAAAAATGAAAATCGCTGCCTAATTTTTTTTTCTTTTTTATTTAAAATGGAAATCGTTGCCTAGGAAGCGATTTTCTAAATATATATTTTTTAAAATCGCTGCCTAGTTAGCGAGTTGATTTTTTTTTTATAAAAAATCGCATATTGCAAAATCGTTGCAGTAGCAGCGATTTTGCTTTTTCGGTGGAGAAAATCGTTGTTGTTCCAGCGATTTTATCGTTTTGGTTAAAATAAAATTTTATATACCATTTTGAAATTTTTATTAATATTTTATATCCTTTAGGCTCCGGACTCCAACTTTATCTATTAAAAAAAGACACAAGATCTTAATTAAAGGCAAGTCATGTTCATTTTAGGGAAAACAAATAAGTGAAGTCTTAGTCTTTTTTTTCAAGCATAAAGAATTTACAATATTTAAATTTGATCTTAGTCGCAAGTAATTAACCACTTCAATTTTGAGAACGGATAATTAGACACATCAATTCGTTTTCACTTTCTTAGTTGAATACTCCAACTTACAGAATGATCATCTAGACACTCCAAAATTGTTGTGTCATGTCGGTGTTCATGAGATATAGTGGAGACGATCGAGTTGAGTATTTACTTGATGGTTGACAAAGTTGAGACATCTAGACGTACACCCTCAAAGTTTGAACTCTTATTTGTCAAATTGAGCCCAAATTTGAATTTCTATTATACCTCTTGATATCAACATTAATGGGCCATTCGAAGAACCATCAATAGGGTGTGGAAGCGTTTTACCTCTCTTAGTAAGTCTATCAGCCGTGAGAGCACATATGCTTTATAGGTAAATTTCCCTAATAACCACTTTTCAACCCTCTCTTACACAAAAAAAACATTTAAATTGTTGTTTTAAGGCCCCCCTTATCGTGATGATCACTAAAAATCGAGAGGAAATAAAAAAATTTGTTGACTCTTTGTCCAAAAACTCTCTATATGGTATCAGAGCCAGGTCCATTTCCGTTTTGATTTCGATCGACGCTTTAGTTGTGCCTTTGGACGTGAAGGGGATGTTAGAGTGGGTTAAAGTCTCACATTGGTTGTTATAGTCTGTTTATATGGACTTATGCAATCCTCTGCTCATGAGCTAGCTCTTGGGGTTGAGTTAGACTTAAGTGTCTTATCTTTACACAACTTAACTAACATGAATAGTATTAGCCAATGGCGGAGTCAGAAATTTCACGAAAGATGTCCAAGTGCTAAAATGAACCTGCTCTTCTAAAAAAGTGATTTTTTTTTCTACTACTGAGATTTGAACACCACCTTAAGTTTGCATGTCTTTACTCTTTCAAAGAGTCCGAAATCACTAGGCTACATCATATTGTTACGTCAAGGTGTTCAAAATATGTTATTTAGCCACATTGTTTGTCATTTTACTTGTATATATAGTATAATTTTCCGACGAAGGGTGTCCAATGACATAAGGGTGGCTACGCCACTGGTATTAGCAAGGTACCCACTCTGTATTCCATTCGTGGGATTACACTGGATATGTTGTTGTAATAGTTTTAGCAATAAAATGTTGATATATATAGATAAGCAAGTTTGCCAAAGCTAACTAAGAATCTTTTTAAGTTGTCAAAGGAAACAGTCACCATTCATCAAAATGTCAATACAATATGTTAAACTTGCAGTTTTACAACAACAAAGTACTTAATCATACAAGTTGTCAATGAATTCTCATATAGGTTGCTGCATTCAAGTTCTCAAAAAGGTCACTTGAGCTAAGGGTCTATCGTATTCTTCCTCTCTACCTCCACAAGGTAAGGCTGCGTACACACCAGCCTCCTCAGACACCACTTATGGGATTATGTTGTTCTTGTTTTTTTATTGTTAGTGATCAATGTTACTATGTAATAATGTAACATGTGGTAACATTTTTGATGTGTTGAAAATGTAACAATACAAATTATTCAAATATATTCTTGTTATACATACTAAAACTAGAAACCAATTTTAGGCTCTAGCACAACTGCAATTGGGCTTCTTACAGAGTACTTTTTACTATTCCATTTCAAGAATCCTTGAACAATACCACTATTTGGGCTATTATCTCTTCTCGTAAACGTCACATGGTATTTCAACTTCTGGTTCAACTTGGAGAATTTCAGTATAGAGGGCTTAACACTCACGGAAACTCTAGGTGGTAAAGCTATTTCCACGCTGTAAGATGATTTAGCTTCCCCGACATTAGTCACTGTTCTAGCATACGTCTGAGAAATGTCTCCGAGTGTGATGGAGAATGAAGGATAATTTAGTTGTGCTTCACGAATGTGTTTCACTGACCTACAATCCACTTTGCGTTGCATGAGGTTCCCCACCTGACGATTTGTGTAATTCAAACCGCATAGGTAAGGCAAGTAGTCCTTAAAACGAGTGTCGTAGATCAGTCCTGGATCATTAGCTCTTGATGGATTGACATGTCCTGCACCAATGGCGAAGATGTTAGCCGGAAGGAGCCTTTCATCTAATATGGGATCGTTGGCGAAGTTCACTGTGTTAGCAGTTGTCATGATTGCTGATTTGATAGCTGCAGGGGACCAAGTCGGGTGTGTGCTTTTCAGCAATGCAGCTACTCCGCTGAGGTGAGGACAGGACATCGAGGTGCCCGATATAATGTTGAAGGTAGATTTCGTGTTCTTTTTGTTGTCAACGGAGGAAGGCCAAGCAGCAAGAATGTTAAGACCGGGACCAATAATATCAGGCTTCAAGATTCCAGGACTAGCTATACTTGGTCCGCGAGAAGAAAATGAAGCAACCACTGGAACATCTTTATCTCCGATTATTGTCCCTTGAAATGCAATTCTTGCATTTGGTTCCGACGTTGTGTTCATGTAGTCAAGAATTTCCATTCCGTCTTTGTAGGTAATATGCAAAGCCGGAAGGACATGAGGATCAGAAAACTTAGTGAAACCATCATCAGCGGTATTAAAGATGATCATACCAACGCCTCCGGCATCCTTTACAGCTTGTCCTTTATCAATCCTGGAATAACCACCACCTGCTGAACACACAACAATTTTGCCTTTAATTTCAGTTTCACTAAGTGTACCTGGTCCACAATAAAGGCTGTCAAAGTCGGTTTCATTTCGTGAAGGATCATACAATGGAAAAAATGTCGAATTGTGACCCTTTGGATGAAATGCTGATTCCCCCTCGAGTATTTTTTTGTTTCCGAGCTTGACAGTGGCCTTGAGTTTCCTGTCAGTAGAGCTTGCACCTACAGTCAGAATCCACGGAGCTTCATTTGATAAGGTGCTTTCGTATGGACCTTCGTTACCAGAAGAGCAACTTACAAGAATACCTCTTTTTGTTGCACTGTACGCCCCGAGTGCAATGGGGTCTTCATAGAACAACTTTCTATTTCCACCAAGGGAAAGGGACATGATATCTACTCCATCATCAATAGCTGCATCCATAGCAGCTAGAACATCACTATCGGAGCAACCAAACGAATCACAGACCTTATACATGGCCAAATGAGCAAGAGGGGCAATCCCAACCGCGGTACCCTTAGCATTCCCATACACATTAGCACCTTTCACAAACCCCCCAGCAGCTGTACTAGCTGTGTGTGTTCCATGTCCATTACCATCTATCGGTGAATCACTGTTTACGAAAGTCCTCGCGCCAATGAGCTTGTTGTTACACTTTGTAGTGAAGTTCGATTCACACTTTCCCTTCCATTTAGCAGGCGGAGGAGGCATTCCTTTGTCGCTAAATGAAGGATGGTCAGGGGAAATCCCGGTGTCCAAGACTCCAACGATCACACCTTTTCCATAGTTAGCATCCCTCCACAAGCCAACGTTCTGTTGCAAACCAAGAAAACTCGGAGTATGTGTAGTATGCAAAGACAATATCCTCTGAGGCCACGCAGATATAAAGCCCGGTTTCTTCTCCATTTCCTTCACTTGCTTTGCTGACAATCTTGCAGCAAAGCCTATGATCACATTGTGATATGAATATATCAACTGCGGCTTTTCATCTAAGCCAGCGGTTGCTATGGTATTTGGCAAGAAAGACTTGTACCAGTTCTCCAAATCCATTCTTGACGATTGAGTGGAAATATGGCTTTCTGGTGATTCGACTTGAACTATGTACGTCTCCAAATCGCTCTGCATACTAGGCCATGAAAAACAAGCAAGTATACAAAAAACAACAAAAGATATTTTCATTGTTGCAAATGTGTTGAGAGAAAGGAAAATTTGAACTAATGATGTACACTTAGAACAGTGGAGTATATGTAGTGCTATTCTTGTTAATTGGTCTAGTTAATTGCTTTGTTAGAAAGGATTAGCATTAATGACCACATGACAAATCTTGATCTCATAATATTCTTCTTAATTAAGAACAAATGTACACTTGCAATAATGTTGCAAGTTTAACTACATGTTGGACTATTTACATTTACAACTTCTCTAGAATTTGTTATGTAACATCTTTTTTCTTGTTAAAACTATCCTTAGAGGGGATCGATTTCGACTTTAATGACCATTGTCCTGTTGTTTTTATCGACCAACATCCTTTGTGAAATGTAAATCAGAGCGTAGTTTTTTTTTTTTAGGATTTTTTTGTCGAGAAATCGCGTGTTTTTAGTTATGCTTTTTTTTATCGGATAAATTAAAAGAGGGGATTGAAAGTATTTTATTTTCTTGTCAATTATTAGTAGTGATCTTATGAGTGGATCTCAAAGCAATTTTCTTTCAATTTTCATATTCAATACAAAGACATGTGATGTTAATGTGAAAACAATAAGAGAGTTGATTGTCCTGAGATTTTTGGTAGACCATGATATCTTTCGATCATGGGAAAAGGATCCGATATACCCCTCAACTTTGTCATTTGGAGCTGATATACTCTTCATTATAAAAGTGACTCATATATGCCCTTACTGATATACAAACGGCTCACATATACCGTTCATTTAACGGAAGTTAAAAAATTAATTTTAAATTTATATTTATTACTTTTAATTTTTTTTAAAAAATTATTTAGGGGTATATATGATTCTTCTATCAAAGTTCAAGGTATATTTTATTTTTTTCATACATAAATTATATTTTGACTTCTTTTATTATAATTATTTGAGTTTCTTATTCTTATTTTATTTTTTTCTTTCATTCCTTAGTTTAAAGAAAAAAAATTTAAACTATTTTTTTGTGTGTACTGTAATTTAGTTTCGTACTCGAAGAAAAAATTTGGTCATCTACAATAAGTTTTTACAAGAATTTTAGTGAAACATAAATAAATTTGATTATCAAAATAATAATTATAAATTAGTCATTGAAACAAAAAAAATAAAAAAAATATGTTTGACGAGGATTCAATTTTTGGGATTATATTTTTTAGGAAAAAAATAATAAAAAATTAGATTTAATTTTTTTTTCCATTTCCGTTAGAGGAAAAGGGTATATGTGAGCCATTTGTTTACAAGTAGGAATATATATGAGTCACTTTCATAACAAGGGGTATATCAGCTCTAAATGACAAAGTTGAGGGGTATATCAAACCTTTTTCCCTTCAATCTCTAGTTAGAGATTTCGAATTGAGATTCTGGGAATCGAAAATATTCTACGGGAAGTATTGTCCCTAAAAACCGATAATAAGTCATTGATGTGTTTTTCAAAAAACGATAAGTATGCTATTATTGATTTAAGCCCTCCGTCCGATTCACTCTATCTTTCGAATTCATTAATGATAATACTTTGAAATGTGTGTATAGTTATAACATAGTTTTTTGTTAAACCTGATATTCTCTGACATCTTATCTGTCTCTTTTAGTCTTCACTTGTTTGCTCTCGTTCCACTTCTTTCCAACTCATTTTTGTTAGGATCAAATCCGTGCACACACATTAAACTTAATGAATGAAGAACACAAGAATTTTTGAGAGAGAAATGAGAGATCTAGAGAGAGAAAGAGAGAAACCAATATTTCGTGATAACACCTCGTGAGTAAACTTCCACGGCGATGGATATATATATATATTTATTAATAATTCAGAATATTTTAAGTTACAGAGAAAAAATGACAGCCTAAAAAAGATTGAACCGTGTGAACATTGATATATGACTATACATCAAATATTAATCAAGCTTCACAACCTAACAATTTTTCCCGTTCAACAATTACCCCCCACACAACATAAATTATTATTATTCTTGATTCAATTTGTCACATTGCATTGCAAATAAGTGTATTCCGGCGCCATTCTCTCTTGTAACCTCACATGTTTTTGTTTTGAGATCCACTCATAAGATCACCTCTTCATCACTACTAATTCACAACAAAATAAAATACTTTCAACTCACTTTAACTAATTCGAATTTTCGACGGAAATTTTGGAGGGAAATCCATCGGAAATTGGCTAGTCAGAAGCTTTTCCGATACATGTAAAATTACTTGTTCAATTTTTCTTTTTCATTTGTCCATTTGACAAGAGAGAAGTATCGAAAAAACACTTCTAAACTTGACGCAAATTATTAGTTTCATTCTCGAACTATTGACAACCTTAAAAACACCCTCTACTTGACTGACTAAACTTAGATACATACCCGACACACTGCCAATATGTAACATGGCATAACAATCGGTCTCAAACTCTTGTAGGAGCACGGGGTTCTTAATATAAATCGAGAATTTAGGGGTGTTTTTCACTTCTGTTGCAAGATCGGGAATGTATTTAGCTTCAATCAGTCAAATAAAGGGGTGTTTTTAAGGCTTTCATTAGTTTGGAGATAAAACTAATAATTTGCTTCGAGTTTAGGAGTGTTTTTAATATTTCTCTTTTTTGACAAATCAAGAAAGGACAAAGTCTTTTTTATCCATTATAAACTCAATTAATTAATTTTGAAAAGATAGAACTTCTTGAAAATCTTAGATTTTTAATTCATCATGTTCATAATTAATATGACTAAATTGGTAAATTCACCACATCAATTATTATTTTCTTAATAAGTGTGACAATTTAAAAGTGAACAAATAATTAGAGACGGTGAGTAATAAATCATCAAATATTTTTAGATTGTCATTAATGAGAACATTCATTATTCAATCATATTGTCATTGTCAATAGTCCAAATGTAGTTAAACTTGCAGCTTTGCAAATAGAAAATTGTTCATAATCAAGAAAATGATTATGAGAATCAAGCTTAACCATGTGATCATTAAGACTAATCTTTTCTTGGAACTTGTTTAATTTAATTAATTAATTCACATTACCATCCTTTTCCTTTCCCCCCTTCTTTTTAAATTGTTGCTTCAACTTTAGTTCTTTGATTCACCTTTTTTATCACACAATAATTACTAATACTTTAATTAACAAAGAGTAGTGGTAATGGTTAAACTATTCAAAAAAAATAAAAATCCATTGGGAGTCTACCAAGTCTTGCATCTTCAATTTGTTGTTCTTTAAAAATTTTTAGTTAGAAATCAAATTTATATCTAACTGGACGATATTATGATGCGAAAAGATAAACTTATGGCTCGTGAAAAAAGTATTTGTCTTGAGAGTTACGATTAAAGACCAACACAAAATATGAGACGTATATATCAGGTTTAAATCGCAAAATTGAGAGGTATATCAGACTTTTTTCCTTACGAAACTCTTGATTAAACAATCAAATATTTGCAAGGCCAGAACACACTATATATACTAGTTGTACACTAATGCAAAAATATCAAACTCCACTTTTACTAGTTCAAAGTTCTATTCTACCAACAAATTGGCAGCTAGCCATGAAAATATTTTTTGTTATTTTTGGTATACTTGGTTGTTTTACATGGCCTAGTATGCAGAGCGATTTGGAGACTTACATAGTTCAAGTCGAATCTCCAGAAAGTCAAATTTCCACTCAATCGTCAAGAATGGATTTGGAGAACTGGTACAAGTCTTTCTTGCCAAAGACCATAGCAACCAGTAGCTCAGGTGAAAAGCCGCGGTTGATATATTCATATCACAATGTGATCAGTGGCTTTGCTGCTAGATTGTCAGCTAAGCAAGTGAAGGAAATGGAGAAGAAACCGGGCTTTATATCTGCGTGGCCTCAGAGGATATTGTCTTTGCACACTACACATACTCCAAGTTTTCTTGGATTGCAACAGAATGTTGGCTTGTGGAGGGATGCTAACTATGGAAAAGGTGTGATCATTGGAGTCATAGACACCGGGATTGATCCTGACCATCCTTCATTCAGCGACAAAGGAATGCCTCCTCCACCTGCTAAATGGAAGGGCAAATGTGAGTCGAATTTCACTAAAAAGTGTAACAACAAGCTCATTGGTGCGAGGACTTTCCCATTAGGCAGTGATTCACCGATAGATGAGGCTGGACATGGTACACACACAGCCAGCACAGCTGCTGGTGGTTTTGTGAAAGGTGCTAATGTGAACGGTAATGCTAAAGGTACTGCTGTTGGGGTTGCTCCGCTTGCTCACCTGGCAATGTATAAGGTCTGTCAATCGTTTGGTTGTGATGACAGTGACGTTCTAGCTGCAATGGATGCAGCTATTGATGATGGAGTAGATATCCTATCTATTTCCCTTGGTGGAAGTAGCAGGTCATTCTATCAAGACCCCATTGCACTCGGGGCGTACAGTGCAGCACAAAGAGGTATTCTCGTAAGTTGCTCTGCTGCTAATAATGGTCCATATGAAAGCACCTTATCAAACGATGCTCCGTGGATTATGACAGTTGGTGCAAGCACTCTTGACAGGAAACTCAAGGCCACTGTCACACTCGGAAACCAAAAGGTATTCGAGGGTGAATCAGCATTTCATCCAAATGATCACAATTCAGCATTTTCCCCTTTGTTTGATCCTTCACTGAATGCAACTGACTTTGATAGCCCTTATTGCGGAACTGGTACTCTGAATGACCCTGAAATTAAAGGAAAAATTGTTATATGCATGGTAGGGGGCGGTTATTCCATGACCCAACAAGGACAAGCTGTAAAGGATGCTGGAGGTGTTGGCATGATTGTCGTTAGTACCGCTGATTATGGTGTCACTATGTTTGTCGATGCTCACGTCCTTCCAGCTCTGTATATTACCTACAAAGACGGAATGGAAATTCTTGACTACATGAACAAAACATCAAAACCAACAGCAAAAATTTTGTTCCAAGGAACAATAATCGGAGATAAAGATGCTCCAGTGGTTGCTGCATTTTCTTCTCGTGGACCAAGCCTAGCTAGTCCTGGGATCTTGAAACCGGATATTATTGGTCCAGGGGTTAACATTCTTGCTGCTTGGCCTACCTCTGTTGAAAACAAAACAAACACAAAGTCTACCTTCAACATTATATCGGGCACCTCCATGTCTTGTCCTCACCTCAGTGGAGTAGCAGCTTTGCTGAAAAGCTCACACCCCACTTGGTCCCCTTCGGCTATCAAATCAGCAATCATGACAACCGCTTACACAGTGAACTTCGCCAATGATCCCATTTTAGATGAAAGGCTCCTTCCGGCTAACATATTCGCTATTGGTGCAGGACATG